TAACACATTTACGAACGCCCTTTTCCAATACTCGGTCGCGTGGGACGGACGCGATTTTGTGGGCGCCGCCGCCTCACCACATAACCGCAGATTTTGTTTTGTAAATGAACAAAAACATGAATGTCACAAAATAATTTCTGCAATGTCCAATGCGTAAAGATTATCTAAACATATAACAGTAGGATTTCGATCAGAACGACAAATAGTGGTTACGAAAAGAGAGCATTTATTCACTTTCCCCGTGAAGGAATTTAAAAGCATTTTACACTCGATTACGAGGTTTGCCCACCTATCTGTCCATTCCTAGCGCCTGGCAAGCGATTATCAGTTGGCAGCCCATATGGGCGGCCATCGGCGTGAATGTGTTAATGATACGTTACATCTCAAACGACGTCGTTTTTTAGAGTACCCAAGACAGAGATCTCAGTTGTGTAGAACGATGTTAGGGCAGAGCAGCACTGGCCGATGTCAGACTTTGCGATTGGAGCGATTTTGTGCACCAATTGCAGGAGCGACGGGAGATTTACACGGCCGACCAACGATAATTCGGCGCCATCAGCTCGTAAATGTCCCGTCGCTCGCAGCTCCCTGCCACAACGGCCAAGGGCACTTATCACGGCCCGAGCGATGGATCGCTTGAGCGATCCATCGCTCCAAAGTGCGAGCGACGGGAGATTTACGAGCTGATGGCGCCGAATTATCGGTGGTCGGCGGTGTAAATCTCCCGTCGCTCGCAGCGATGGATCGCTCAAGCGATCCGTCGCTCCTGCAATTTGTGCACAATCGCTCCAATCGCAAAGTCTGACATCAGAACACTTGTAGGTAATACAACTGCCAAAATAAAATAAATACGAAATAAATAATAAATAAGTACGAAAAAAACGAAGACCAATAAATCAATCATATATGATGCTATGAAAAAGGAAAAGGAATTGGAAAATCGAATAATGAAGCGAGATGAAGGAAATGTCAAATGAATTCTATGGTTTACAGATAGAAGCAGAAGATGACTGCCTCATATCGCCGTTGACGGGCTGGAAAGACAAACACGGTTGGTCATTGCTGTAGACACATATATATATTTATTTGCTTTGTTTAGTTTTCATGTATGATTTATTTGCTTACTTACTTTTACTAAAGGTTTTTTTTTTGGAAAATCATCCAATTCCGTGAAACGGAGAAGATTCAATCGTAAAATTCGTTTGGTTCCATTTTATTTTGTTCTACCAACTTATTTGTCAAGTATTTTGCAAACCCTTCCGAAAATTGTTTATTCTCACCACTGATTTGTTTATACTCTATTTCGGAACATGAGAAGAGCTTCGAGTGCAGAACACACTCGAGAAGTGACGACGGCCAAGAAAAAAGCCGCTTTCTGTTCTCGTCTAGTGAAGGCTGTCCAATTTGAAAGACGAAATAATGAATGTAAACAAATCGACTACTTTTCAAGGCCTCCACTTCTACACTTTGCACCTTTCCTTACTTCGAGAATTGATGATTTCTGGCTTCTGTTATTGACAGCTGATCCGATCACTGCGTTTTGAAATTATCCATGAAATTTACAGGTGAGACAGCCTTGCATATAGCGTGCTCCCGTGGCAAAATGGACTGTGTTTTGGCGTTGCTGAAAGGTGGCGCTGCACTGAAACGCTGTAAACGATATGAGGAAGACATGCTTACAGTGTGCTGTTGATAACAAGCACAGCAACGTGAGTTTTCCTCACTTTAGAAAACATTGAAATTGAGGGCCTCCTTTTTTGTGAGGCCGACCGTGGTCATACGAAGAGACACAGTGAGACGGGAAGAGGAATCACGTGAGAGAACACGTCGTACGAGAGAGCGCAGACACCGCATACGTTGCGAACGAGTAAAAATGGCAGAGGTGCCAGCAGGCAAAGCATTAACGCTCTCACCGCGAACTTCCGAGTTGTACGCCTCCCGCCTCCATCGAAGGACAGAGCCCCACAACTCCATGCATCTGATTGCATGGCCACATCTTGGAATAGGGCTGATCGACTCCAAAACGCGTGGACCATCCCCATTTATTGCATTATTCGGAAACCTATCGGGGTCGAGGCGTCGCAAGCGCGTGCATCGGTGATCTGTCCACCGGACCCGGCAAAACGTGGGATTCCAGTGGGTGCCCACAACACCTCGGAAGGGAATGCGTGCGCGAGAATGCTCTGAGATGCGTGCCTGCTGCGGGCTCATGTGCAGGGCCTATTCCCTGACCCCGAACAAGTACGATGCGTGCCAGACGCGAGCGTTAAGACCTAGATGTTACGCGATATTATCTCTAGAGCGACCAAGAGTACAGAGTGGACAACTGATCGCCAAGGCCGAAGGTGGCGAATGCGGTAAGCATAGCGAGGCGTTTACAAGCGCAGACGTGTATCCTCTAGCCCCCCCCCTCCCCCACCTCTAAAGAACTCTGTGAGGACAATCAAATAATAAGCTAAAAAGGCTTTCTGTCTGTTTCCTTCGAGGAGTTTTACTGTAATAACGTACTTTGTTTACCTATTTATTTATTACTTATGTGCTTCGTTCAGATTGCCGAGTATCTTCGTTCCCAAGGAGCACTTCTCTTCATAGAATTGAGCGAAACAGCAGCACGGGTCATTCAAAGCTGGTGGCGAGCTGTACTTCTTCGTAGACGCTTCCGTAAAATCAGGCTATGAAATAAATTCGGATATTATTCCTTATTTGAAGATCCCTATTACGATGGCTTCCTGAGACCAATTACTGATTATACGGTTACCCAGGTTGTTTGAACTCGGATTCAACATATTGCAGAAAAATAAAACTCTAGAGAGACCTGAAAGGGAGAAACTGAAGCCTTTTGCCAAATTCAAAGATGAACGTATTCCCCAGAATATTCTCGGACAAAATTTACTTCCTGTGGTTGTTTTGCACCATCACATCTGCGTTCCCGTCCAGCAATGGGTGAAGGGAGGGGCATGTGGTGGAACTGTTGCTGCCGTCAACCAACTTCCAGCTCTGGCAGGGGGAAAATCCCTGGCGTATGTGAACCATGAGATGACCAGAGCATAAACACCCATCCTAGAGGAGAATCACTGTAAGCAGTCAACTGTGAACCATATGCACCCCCCCCCCCCCATCCTGAAGGTGAGATCCAATTTCTACGTTTACAGTATTTAGGGTTCTCGTCTCGTACAAACTGAAGGGCCTGTCAGGCGTGGAGCTTAGTTCTTGGATTGAAAAACATTTTTATACCAGTTGGCGCCGCACGCATTGCGCGCGCAACACAGATCTGCGGCGAATTTTGATGGTGCGACGAAAATTTTCAAATTTGGCTTGATACACCACGAATATCTGAATTCTCAGCTAAATTCTATCCGCTCCATCATCGACGGCTTTCAACCTCTTTTTTTCTTCGTCAACCATTATCCTCTTTTTCCGGTCTCCGGACTGCTTCCGGACAATAAATCTCGTGGCAAACTCCGCCTACTTCGGTGCGTGCCCCGCCCACCAATAGCATTTGGCCCCCTTCCTTTCGCCGACCTCTACCCCTTTTTTCACCGGTCTCTGGGACCTCTTGGAACCAAATTACGACACTTTTGGCAAACTCCGCCCACTTATGTGCGTGCTCCGCCCACTAATAGCAGTTGACCTCCTTTCCTTCGCCGACCTCTACTCCCTTTTCCCAGCCTCCGGGACTTGTTGGAGCCGAGTTATGAATTTTCGTCGCAAACTCCGCCCACTTTGGTCAAGCCCCGCCCACCGATGACAGCTGGCCTCCACTCCTCCACCACCTCCATCCACCTTTTTCCCGGCCTCCGGGACTTCTTGGAGCCGAGTTATGAATTTTCGTCGCAAACTCCGCCCACTTTGGTCAAGCCCCGCCCACCGATGACAGCTGGCCTCCACTCCTCCACCCACCTCCATCCACCTTTTCCCCGCCTCCGGGACTTCTTGGAGCCGAGTTATGAATTTTCGTCGCAAACTCCGCCCACTTGGTCAAGCCCCGCCCACCGATGACAGCTGGCCTCCACTCCTCCACCCACCTCCATCCACCTTTTTCCCGGCCTCCGGGACTTCTTGGAGCCGAGTTATGAATTTTCGTCGCAACTCCGCCCACTTTGGTCAAGCCCCGCCCACCGATGACAGCTGGCTCCACTCCTCCACCACCTCTATCCACCTTTTTCCGGCTCTTTAAGACTTCCCCGGCCCGAATTATGAGGGCTTGTAGAAAATGCTGTACACTTCAGAGCGCGCCCCGCCCATTCTGGGCGGGCCTCCGCCCACGTCATGTATGCAGGAAACACCTTAGACATTGCTCCCTTACACCAAATTGTTTTCTGCTCTGTAGGCTTTCTCCCAACCGAGTTATGAAATTTTTCATAAAGCACTGCTTTTTTGGAGAACGCCCCGCCCACCGGGGGTGGGTCTCCCTAATTCGATGTGACTTACCAATGCACACCTTTACCCACTTTTTTGGCCCAGTTTCGAGGTCGTTTTGTCACTGAAATCGAAATCTTGGGTCTTCGGTACAATTCATTTCGACGCACGCCACGCCCTCTGTGGGCGGGGCTCCGCTTAGCTGATGTGTGTTTTGTATTTCGTGAGACCTTGCCCACCCATCCCACACTTGACCCGGTCCCTCCAGGCGGATCCCGAGGAGCTAGGGAATTTCGTGACAGACATACAGAACGACAGACGACAGACGACAGACGAAGCGCTTTATAGTAAGTAGGATATTTATTTTCCTTCGTATAACTCGTTTCGAAACATTATACGAAGGTTGAGTGCAGACCACACACACTAGTGGACGTACGACCATGAATAAAGTAGCCTTTGCATACTTTTTGCTCTTATCCGTCGTCATGGATGGTGTGTGTTAACTGCACTCGACCGCTCTTCTAGTTTTCCGAAAGAGAATCTGTCAATCGTTGCACATGCTTAATATGTTATTTGCACATGTTTCACATACTATTTCAGTTGCATATAAGCGCTGTCTTTGAATTCGGGTTGTACACAGTGTTATGATCCATTATAAAAATAGAAATTCTGAGAATAATCGACTACATTCCACGAAAGTAGATGCTAGGACAGTGATTAGCTTGAGACACATCATCAAAGCGTAAATAAAAAGTTCAATCAAGGGAGTACCATTTATCGCCACTGATTTGCGAAGGAATCTCGAAGCAACGATAACCAACCAGTTCCACGTGTGCACCTTTCGCCGATGAGCATGGCTCGGCGCGTAGCCCCTGACCAAGAAGATCGTCATGAGACCGAAGTCTCCCAGAGAGAACTTAATGGCTGATGTGGTGGTCCTGCCCACCGTCATCTATCTCACGCCATCGTTATACGCTTATCTGCCGCTCCTAAAACGCAGACTATTTCGGCACGCCGTTGCATGCCCATTTTGTTTCGTGCGGCGCCGGACATGTCCGTAATTTTCAGCGCGGTAGACAGCACGCCGGGTTATGGTCCAGTAAAACTGATGCTTTATACGTTCCAATGCCATCAGATGCCACATGTGTTTCTAAGTCGGTAATTGCGACAGACCTCTTCGTGGAGAAACTAGCTAATAACTCTAATACGAGCAATTGAGACGCCTGAACGCCTGTCTGTTAATACGACTAGGCTTTAAGGAGTGCTGTCGCGCAAGTTAAAAGCAGAGGAGTGAAAAGTGAGAAGGGCAGACCCATTAACTCCCCAAACCCCTAAAATACTATCATTGATTTTCGATGCGATTTCTTCGGTTCCTCTTCACCAGTAAGAGAAGCAGATCCTAGACAAGGCGCAAAAACTCGTGGTCAGCATCATAAGACGACTATGTTTGCAAAAGCTCCTCCCTCTCAGCTTCATTTGACTCTTTTAAAAAAACTTGTATGGAAATAAAGAGTCAATTACGATCTAGCAGACCTCTGCTCGCAGCCGAAATGCACATTCAAATGCACATTCAACAATGCCCGAGCCAGAAACTAAACGCATGGCACATCCCAAAATCTTCACGACAACACTCCACATGACGATACAGAGCATGACGAACAGCTCGCGCTAATTGACGTGTCGCTCTTTAAAATTCTTGAAGTTCATTCAAAAATTATTCTGGAAAGTTAATTGTGATGTGTTTGGGTGTTTCAAACATGGTTGTTGTTTCAATTATTTAGTGTAGTTGCATTTGAAAATTCATGAAAGAGCTTGATTTGCCCCCTGTGCGGTTCACTAGGGCGCATATGCGTGAAACTACAATGTAAGGAGTAGAGATGGTGTACTGTCGGGTATGAAGAATTCTGGAATTTTGATGAATGTTCTGAAGGCTCTTGTTCTTTTTCCTGTCCTCTTGATCCGTCCAGTTGGTAGTCTAACGCGTCATGTGGTTTTTTGTTTCTGAAAACCAGTTCGGCAGTCAAACAGAAGGCGTGAAAAAACACGAAATCTTTCGCATTACTGCCTTCATTCGCTTCCTATGAATATGTGTATTTTCTCCTTGATGTTCCAATTCCATTCCCTCAATTTTTCAGGGTACTCTCCGCAGCATCGCTGTTGGACAATTAGAATGGTTGCCGTGTTAAGGGTTCCCTTGTTGAGAAAGGTGATACTTTTACTGATATCCACCCCTACAATTTTCACACTTTGCCTTTATAGTAAGAAATTCTATTTCAAAATTTGACGTATTTGAAGGCTTTTTGTCTCCGGGCCTGCAGCACCAATGCGGCTCAAGCCGCCACCAACCTGGCACCAGGTGTAAGGCCGGTGGAACGTATCAGGAATATCGGTACATGCTTATCCTCTCTTGTTTTGTTCTTTTTTTCGGGTGACTCAAAAAGGTCCATGGCTAATATTTCGATTCTAGGTATTTCGGCGCATATTGATTCTGGCAAAACTACCTTAACAGAACGGATTCTTTTCTATGCTGGAAGAATCGACTCCATGCATGAAGTAAGCAAACGTCTCTCTTCTTATTTCCAATCCTCTACTCAGCTCCTTGTTCTTCGTGTTTTACTATAACTGCTTCGATAAGACGTCAATTTACTCAGGTTCGCGGTAAAGATGAAGTTGGTGCCACCATGGACTTCATGGAATTGGAACGGCAACGTGGTATCACTATTCAGTCGGCGGCCACCTACGTTGATTGGCATGGGACAAATATCAACATCATTGACACTCCTGGTAGGATATATACGTCGTTAGAACCTGATTTAGTTTCCTGATCCAGTTTTTATTGCTCTTTTGCTGTTCACTGCAATCACGGGTGATGTGCTTCTATCAATTTTGGGGGAATGCAGCTATCGCTAAGGCAAATGCAAAATTCGAATTCGTTGCAAAAATTTCAGGCCTATGCTCTGCTGAACGCCAATGAAGATTAAGCAGCAGCGTGAGAAGGTTTTGCCAACCTTGTTTTGTTGATGCGGTATAGAATTCTCAGATGTAAAAACAAAATGCTGCTACAAAGACTTCAGACGTTTCTTTTGTCGCTTGTGATGTTCAGATTCGAAGATCGTGTGAGTGTTAGCGATTGATTAGCTTCCTATTCTCAGTAGTAGCTCTTCTGGGAGTCTTTATTTGCGTCGCCGCTACTATATACGGGAAAAGAGCTCCGAAGGGTGATTTCAAGATTGAGAACACCAATTTTCTTTCGAATGATTGAATTCGATTGCTTTTTCAGCCGTCAAGCTGCATAAAGGTTCTATTATTCCAAATCCCTATTGCGCTACAATTGAATTTTGCTAGGCAAAGTTTTTCAATGACCCTCTTCTAAGCCTGCGGGACGTTATCTGTCCTTTTGTCTTCGTAAACACACGTTAGGGAACATTGGATCTTGATGCTGTTTCAGATACAGTAGTTTTCCGTTATTGAGCGTCTAGGACTGTTTTCTTCTGATTATTTCTGAATTTTGCCCTGATTCTATGATTAGAATCGAATTATGTCGGCCTGTTTCAGTCCAATTCATTGAAGTATGTTTTCTTTCTATTTCAGGTCACGTTGATTTTACTGTAGAAGTGGAACGTGCTCTACGTGTCCTTGATGGTGCTGTGCTGGTTCTCTGCGGAGTTGGCGGGGTACAATCACAGACATTCACCGTCAACAGACAGCTGAGCAGGTGAGTTTTTTTTTGTTTTTGAATTTCATTTAAATCATGGAACATGTTCAGGTACAACGTGCCTTTTATCTGTTTCGTAAACAAAATGGATCGTACGGGTGCCACTCCACTTCGTGCCCTAGATGGTCTCCGCAACAAGCTGAAACACAATGCGGCTCTCATCCACCTCCCTATTGGAAAGGTACGATCGGAACGGTTGTATAATTGGCACTAATTCAATTAATTCGTCCTTTCTCACATTCCTTTATGTTAGGATTCTGGCTTCCGAGGAATTGTGGATTTGATCGAGGAGCGAGCCATGTACTATGAAGGAGATGAAGGTCTCACTGTGAGGGTGGATGATGTACCTCAAGACATGCGAGCACAAGTGAAGGATTTTAGGCAGGAACTGATCGGTTTGTGTAGTTCACATGGAACAACAATTCACTAATATTTTTGGGACGTCAAATTTAAAATACATTTTACCTAAACCTACTTTTGTTGGCTTTTGAGGCGAATCTGCCAAACGTAGATGGTGCTTAAAGACCACGACGGGCTCTGGTGTTGCTCAGAGTATTTTGGATTTTATAAACCATGTTTATGAAAAAAACTATGTGTCTCTTGGAAATTCCTCCAACATTTTTTGGTCTTTATTTATTCAAAGCTGTTTTAAAGAGCACCGCGGACGATGATGAATCAATTAGAGAAATTTTCCTAAATGATCAAATCCTAGCGTGGATCAGATCCACGCAGGCATACGTCGATCAGTAATTAAGGTGAGCTCATTTCGGAAATTTTTCATTGGCGAAAAAATTTCGTTGTCGTTTTCAGAGATCCTTCCTTCCAGTTCTTACTGGATCAGCTCTGAAGAACAAAGGTGTACAAACAATGATTGATTCAGTAGTGCGTTATCTTCCCAATCCCAGCGAAGTAGTGAATCGTGCAAATATCAAGGATGGAAGGTGGTTTGTTTATTCTAGACTGAAGATTGTTCCCGTTTTCTCTTTCTCATTTTATTTTAAAATTTATTTTATTTTTTTTTTTATTTTGATTCTCATTCAGCGAAGAGAAACAAGTAATTCTATCTCGGAAAGGAAACAATTACGAAGCCTTTCGTCGGTTTGGCGTTCAAGCTTGAGGTTTGTTGTACTTGTTGTTCAGCTTTCCCTCCTCTCCCATCTTTCATATGATAATTCAAGGTCTTCGTTTAGGCTGGGAAGTACGGACAGCTCACTTATTTCCGTGTGTATCAAGGCCAACTAAATAAGGGTGACACTATTTATGCTTCCAAAGATGGTCGTCGAGTCCGAGTACAGCGATTAGTTCGAATGCATGCTGCTGAAATGGAGGTAATGACCTTTTACTTTGCGAATCTCATGATAAAGGCTGCATTGAGTTGTGGAAACAAGTCAGGTAAACTCTGCAGTCAAGCTCTCCATTTGCATATTTTGCTGGAATCCGGTTCCTGTTTTTCTCTGGGAAACTGGAATCAAGGTATTCTATGACAACTGGTTGAGCGAAACTGAAAAACCTCCAGAATGTTGGGAAATGTTGCACCTTTTTTCAGACAATCTTTGAGATACTATCAAAGGTACAACGTTTGATTTTTTTAGGTTTTAGAGATGCCTGTTATGTGACACGTATTCAATCTGCGTTTTATTACGCTGATTACTATTACACAGCCCCTTGAGCCATTCTGCACATTTAATTTGATAAACTCTGCTTTTTTCGTCTTGTAAATGGCCTGAATGCACCTTTACCAGCGCTAAATTCCTTCGGTTTTTTTTTGTTTTGGAAAAATTGGCGAATTTTTACAAAGGCACGAAGTATATGTATTTGACAAATATGTACTGCTTCAGCTGGCGTTTTTTTTGTACTTTATCATTTTTTTAATTTCAGGAAATTTAATACTGTTTATGCTGGTGACATTTGTGCTACGTTTGGATTAGATTGCCACTCGGGTGAGACTTTCACCAGCGATTCGAGTGTTCTGCCACACTGTGTATCG